CATCTACCGGACTCTATCCGGATCGAAGACCGGGCATTGGTCATGTGGCAGAAGACTCTGTGATCGTTCATAGAGTGGTAGCAGAGCACCTGTGCAGTGCGAGGTGTGCTGCATACAGTACAGTGTGCCAAACAATCGAGGCAAGGCAGGTTCGCAAAATTGGTAATTACTACATAGTGCATAATAACTAGCAACTTGGGAAGAAGAAAAAAAAAAAAAAAAAAAAAGTGCATATTTTTCTCAATTCCAGGGAATTCATTTCACTTGGACAAGTTGGAAACAAAATAAAATTGCAAAAAAGCCAACGCGAAATATGTCGCATCAACGTCCCACCACTGCAAAATGTGGAATATTTCGGGTCTTTCCCCCTCCCGCCACCCAAGAAAAAGAAAAGAAAAGGGTCGTCGTCCAACTGCGAAGTTGCAAACAATAACTTAACTTATTGCGACAGTCACTTCTTTTTTTTCATGCTGGATTTTTTTTTTGTTTTACTTTCATCGGAATTTCTGGTGTGCGTTTTGGGTCGTTGTTTTGCTTTTTCCCCCCATTTCTCTCTTTACTTTCTTTCAAAAGGCGACGGCCTTGAGATATGACCATTGAGCTAATCGGGCCCAGGTGATTCCGAATTTATTTTTCTTATCTTATGTTCATCTCATCGCAACTGGATTCCAACTTGGGTGTACCAACCGAGCTAGGCCCGTTGGTTTTCTGGATTTTTTCACCATTTACTCTTATTGGACTTCAAAAAAAAAAAAAAAAAAAGACTTTGTGCTGTGGATGGGCAGTGTGTGGCACAACAAAGTGCGGGGCACGGGGTGTGTGCTGCACTCCGGCTGCTTGGCAAGTGAATCTGCCATTACACAGAACGGTCATGGCCAGGCCCCACCAAAACAAAAAGTGGGCAAAGAATGTACGGTACTTTTTTTTTCGCCCATGGGACATATGCAGATGGCCAATCGCAAACTGTAAATGATTTAGAATTTTATATATGATATATGAGGCTATACGAGCTTCATAAACATCCTGAGTCCTGACAAGTAATTTGGACTGTGCAGGCGAAGGGTAAATTTGAGACAAGACATTTACTGTAGTGAAGGCACCTGCGAAAATCACTGGAGGGGAACCCGCCACACGCGCAGCCTCCACAAACAACAAACTCTCGCCTTGCCAAGCGAACTACAACCACTTCAAATTTGAGAAAAGCTAGGCTATTTAGTCGCCCTGACCCGGGCCGGTGCCAGGCCCGGGGGGGTCCCCACTGGGGAGACCCAGGCGGCCCAAAAAGTGCCCACATCTTTTTGTTTTGGCGGCATGGTCATTTGGCACTTGTTGAGAACAACAGGGAACTTGAACAACAGGGACCCTGCACTTGGGGAATTCGGGGGGGGGGGGGGGGGGGGGGCGTTCAACCTTGGGAAGAAGATGGGGGCAAGAGGAGGAAGAAGAAGGAACAGTGTGAAAGGAGGAAGCAGGAGATGTCGGGAGGAAGAAAAAGATGTCGGGAGGAGGAAAAAGATGTCGGGAGGAAGAAAAAGATGTCGGGAGAAAGAAAAAGATGTCGGGAGAAAGACAAAGATGTCGGGAGGAGTAGCAAGGAGGTGGCAGGGTGCAGGTCACGTGGTACGCGTGTACAAGGAAGGACACAATGTCAAGTGATGGAGGCGACGGCGCGCGGATCGGGTTGTAAGACCCAGAGAGGTCCTTGATCTGCGACAAGAACAAGGAGCTCTGGATCTCTGGGTCTCCCTATTCGCCTACTACCGTCTTCACCCGAATAGAACGCCTGGTCATTATCGCTGCATCTGGACTGAAAGTTGGGCCAAATGCCGCTGTAATGACCGGGCGATCTATTCGGGTGAAGACGGTAGTTTTTTCATGCATCTGCGGAAGGCGGGAAAAAAAACATGCCGGAGCATCTATGCCTTGAATGCAGCAGCGGTATGGCCCAGAACACACACAACCGTAAATCACAAACAAACACAGACGAAGGTGGAAATTTAAGGTAAGACGACAAAGCCAAGGAGCAGCGAGGCAATGCGCTGTCTGATGACAAGCCACAACAGGGCACATAGACTGGAGGGCACGCGGAGGTGGGGGGAGGGTAGACAACACACAAGCACATAAAGGCAAGGGAGACAGCAACAACTAGCGTATGAAGACAAGTACCAAACTAAAAAAACTGGAGAAAAAAAAGTAAAAAAAAACAAAGTGAAAACTGATGATGATAGATTTGTTTCGTCGGAGTTGCACCGACTCATCACAAGGCTGAACCCACGACAATCTGCAGGGGCCTTGCTTATCGGGGATGCTCGTATCACCTTGGTAATCAGGACACAGGGGCCATGAAGCTAGGCTACCAGACTGGCCCGGGGTCACTTGCCCGGCCGGACCAAAACAATAAAAAATTATAAAAATTATTTTTAAATTTTATTTTTTATTTTAAATTTGGTGAAGAATTTCGATGTGACCCTGAGGCAAAAGTTGTTCAGCTTATTTTTCTGCATAACATAGTTTGTTTTTGGATTTTTTTTTATTTTATTTTTTTTGTGCTGGGAACTTCCTTGGTCCTTGCACGGGCTGGCCACCTGGGACCCGGGCGGCCTGGCTGGTAGCCTGGCCATGAAGTATATATAAAAAAAAAAAAACAAAGGAAAAACAACAAGTGTCAGCACGACTCAGCAGTGTCGCTAAAGTGTGGCAAGGTGTTTCACATTCGGGAAAACAAATTGGAACACGGGACCGGTGTGGCAAGGGCGCATACTTGGCAAAGAAACTCCTTGAGGCAGAGATCGAGTTACTAATCAGGAAAGCCCTTCCCTCCTCCATCGACCGTCCATCTTCTGGGTGAGCAAGAAAGAACACAGCTTCTGTTCCTCGCCTCGAAGTGTACCTCCTAGCCCAATGTAAGAACGATGTGATCACGGCCAGCTTCTGAGTAAGGCCCTCGCCACACCACCGGAATGTGCAAAATGGAGCATGTATCTTCTACAAAACCAACGCATAGAAAGGCACACCCGCCACAGGAATTGTCTTTTTCACATTTGGGGAGTGGTGTGGCGGGATGCCCTAATGCAGGAGAGTGAGTCCTCCTCCTGTCTAAGAAAGCTGCTTTCAGCTTATCCCATAACGGTACATTTTCCTGAATTCAGCAGCTGCTGCTGCAGAAGCGCACGAGACGTTTTGGGCACGCACCGTGTCAATGTAGTTCCCATATCGTCATAAGAGGTAGCACCTCCCACGAGAGAGTCTTTCGGTATGCCTGTCTTCTTCACACTGGAGCCCTGCCTGGCAGAGAGTGCATGCCACGACGTGCACACACACACACACACACACACACACACACACACACACGCACAAGAACAAACCTTGCACAACTCAAGATCACAAAACAGACTATTGTTGAATTCGATGTGCAGCGGATCATACAAGCTAAAACATGACGTAGGGACAAAAAGTTCAAGAACGTGTTACATATAGCATACAGATTTTCTTCCGAGGTGCTCACATTGCACGCGCTGGAACTGCAGGATGTTTTGGTACAGCTACCCGACACCTTACACCGGGACCCGGGACAAACTAGAGCTGAGGAGGGAGGAGGTAAAAGTCTGAAAGAGTGGAAGCTGCCGCTTGCCGCTCCAATGCTTCCGTAAAAAGTTGCACCTCATCAGAAAAGGGAGACAAAGAGGGAGAGATTGGGAAAAGATGGGGAAAAAAAAAGAAGAAGGATGGGAAGAGGAAAGCGGAAGGAGGACTATTGACGAAAAAGGTCCGTGGGACAGACGAACCTTTGGCAGGAAGTCTCGTGCAACCCAGGTCTTTATTTCTTTATCGATCTGACAAAACTTCTTTGGAATCGTCCTCGCTCAGGATGGATCGGAAGAAACGCACCCCTTCAAGAGCGAAGCGTACATCCTCCTCCTGAACGCGGAGCGTCACCCTTCTGAGCCTCTCCTCCCTCCCTGGTCCAATGTTGAGGATAGCCTGGTCAGCGAGAACAGTGCACATGCAGGTGAACTCGGCTGATGTCAGTGCGCTGATGGATGCACTTTTACACTGTTCTATGTAAGCTTTGTTGAGTTCTCCGAGTGTTGCATCTTTTTTCCGCCCTCGAAAGAGACGCACCGCCGAGCACAGAATCATCTGTTGGTGTTGTGGAAGGGCCTGCAGAGTCTCCACTAGAGGCAAGTGAAAGCTCTTTGCGAGCGCTTTCACCATGTGTCTCATTACGACGACAGCGGGCGGCTTGTCCACTTCACTCTCCGCAGTGCCAGTTTTTCCCGCTATTTTCGTCCTTCCTAGCCTCTCGTCCTCCTCCTCAGCGTTCGTGAGATCATAGTCGCTTCCTCTGGTTGCCTTTACCTCTGATAGGAAAGCATCCACAGCCAATCTGCACACATCAAGCGCCTTTCGCATATCGCCAAACGCAGCTGCAACCTTCCTGGCACACAGCTCAATTGCAAGAGGATGAAACGCTTGAAAAGAAAGCCGCTTGAGCCGTTGATTGAGAATTGCACAGATCTGGCTTTGGTTATATGCAGGGAAAGTGACAACAGAGGGGATACAACTGAACGCTCGAAGGTGAGGCAGTAGCCGTTGGGTCATGTCGATAGAGTTGGCGATTCCCACGAGAATGCACCTGGACTCCGGCAAGGTCGTTAGACGGAAGAGTTCGTAAAGGACAGCTTGGTCTTTTGTCATAAGGTGATCGATTTCATCAAGAATGAGGAGAACCATCCCATCCTGCTCCCTATTGCCTTTTCTGGGAGTTGCAACGATTTTGGTCAGTTCCGTAAGTGCGTTTTTGGGTGCTATGGACACGGCGGAACTTGTTGCGTTCGTCTTGCCTGTCAACAAAAATGACAAAACCCGCTGAAAGATCTGTTTTGGCTCCACCGCACACATACAGTTCATCATAACGACAGTGGGAGGAGCGACAGCCGCCTGCAGCGCCCACTGCGGCACATTCTTCTTCAACTCCTCCATTGTTAAGGTTTTCCCTGTCCCTGGACAGCCACAAATATACATGGCAGTTGCTTTCTGCTGCTGCACAGCTTGCTTGCACATTTCCAGCACCTCCCTTCTCTCGCGATCTCGACAGAGAATCTCAGATGGCATTGACGATAGGTGGAGGGCGGCAAGGGTCTGCCGATGGCCTTCGTCGTCCGCCAGACAAAGCGCCTTCGCAGGCTTTTCCTCCTCCTGGGTGCTGGACGCCGGGATCCCATTGACTTCCGGCGGCGCAATGTTCGGGCCCACATCGACATCGTCCTCCCCATCCCTTTCCCCCTTTGCCTTCTCTCCCATCTCGCCCCCGTTCGGAAAACCATCCTTTGCGGTCGTCCCCTTCTTTGCAGAAGAGGGATGACAAAGTTTGATTACGTCCTGGATGCGGAAGCCTTCGTCTTCTCCCTCACTCACCTCTCCTGCTTTGTTGCCTCCAAACCCTGGCCTCAGCACCACCATTGCCAATTGATCATCATCACCACTTTTTGCATTCTCACTGATTTGACTCTGCTTCGGAGTACCTCGGTCCGCGTCGTGCTTGCTTATTTTCCTTGCCCTGCTATCCACTTTCTCATCGTACCTCGGTCGTTTATTCCTGCCCGTCTGTCCTGCAGACTGGTAGTCACACACTTTCTCGTTCAGCGCCATCGAAATTTCAGATGCATCTCCACTCCTGATGGATCTTGCTGTCCCCATAGACTGCATAGGCTCAGGAACGCTACAACCGCCATCGTTCGCAGCATTTCCTGTGGTGAACAACGTTTTTTCTCCCTCCTCATTCCCCTTCACTGCTGGCGTCCCTTCTTCGCTACCCCTTGTTACGGCATCGTTCTCCCAGTTTCGGTTTTCAACAACTTTTTCTGTTCCTACAACCCCGTCCACATTTTTCAGGACCACCGTGTTTCTCCTCCCACCATCCTCCTCCTTACCCACCTTAATCTTCCTCGGTCTACCTCTACCCCTCGCCTTCGGTTGTTTCTCATGTTCTGTATTCCGCGCATTGCCACCGTCCAGAATGCCAGGAGTCGGAGCTTCCACTGCTCCTTCCGCCGGTATCGACGCAACCAACCCAGCTTTCCTTCCATTCTCCAAAGACTGCAACTGCACATTGAGTGTGTTCAAGTTTGTACTCCCCGTCTCATCCTGCTCCGTCTTAACCCTTTCTGGCTCTGGCTCCCCTTCTCGCAAGTCCACGAGCTCTCCTTCTTCGCCCACCTGTACTCTTTCTTCACTGCCACCCTCATAACCCATTGATCCCAATATGCCATCTTTTCTCTGAGCATCACCCGCGGACTGACCACCCTCTGCAACCGGTGCCGCTCCCACCACACTTTTCCGTGGACGCCCTCTCTTGCCGTTTCTTTCACGAGGTTTCTTCTCCGCAGACGTCTTTCTAGCAGACATCTTTTGCGCGAAAGCGTGCAGAAGGTAGCGTTCCGGGGAAACCGGAAGCCCATGCTGCCCAGTCCAGTCAAAATCGTCGGAACTCAGTCCACTTTGATGCTTCTCAAGGTATTCTTTCAAGTGCTTCTTCGACCGAATGAGGACACCACCGGGCGTGTAAAAGTACACGTCCACATGATTACTGTTCCCCCGCTTGCATACCCTTCGGCGCCAACCCTCAGGAATCCCAGGCCCGCTATCTGTCACAATACCAGACATTGGTACGGGAGCTGTGATGGATAGCTCGAACCGCCTGCGAGGATGGCCTTGCTCAGATCTTGTGCATCATTAGCGACCTCCACACGCACTCTTCCACATGCACTCTTGGACAGATACTACAAAACTACGCATTTATGTGCGTAAGTGCCACCGCCATCTCATGCAAAGGGAGTCTACAGCAATCAACAAGAATGGCAAGCAAAAAAAGACGCACGCAGAGCCGAGGATGGAACGAAGCCTATCAGTTACGTTGCAAAAAATCAGTTAAGTAACTCAAATTGCAAAAATGTCGGTTATGTCCTTCGGGACATCCGTTAAAATTGGAATGATAAAAAAAATAAAAAGTAAAAAAAAAAGTCGGTTAAGTTGCAAAAGGGTGCAGGGCTGCCAAAGAAGTGTTCAATTTGGTTGAGGACTCTGAGGAGGTTGACTTGCCTGGTGGCTGAATGAAACAAAGAACTAGTGATAAACCCATGGGCTCAAATCCTGCTTGTGAAAATAATCCTCAACGAAGGGTAGGAGGCACCAGCCCATGCACGACTTCATTGCGGCCAAACCCCGTCACCGAGAGTGTGTCTCATGCAACTTGCAGGGGTTGTAAAATGCAAGCTCTGAGTACATGCTATATTTGAAATCCAGGTAGGCAGTCCTTGGCTTGTCACTTGGTTAGCGTGCAGAGGGGTCTATATCAAGCTGTGACCTTTACACACACGAAAGTAGTGCATATTCTCCGTTGCGAGTAAATGTGGACAGTAGGTAGCGTGGTCCAGTTCACTGTGTTCACATAAGGGCAATGGGTTGATCCACCCATTCAGCCAGCTAGAAGAAAGATTACTCCCCTATATTACAACTACACTTCAGAAGAGTTACCTTTGCAGTAAAAAGCTGCAGTAAAAAGCTGTCACAGTTTAACATGGGGTTCGTTTACCCTTAGCCTCCATCAACCATTCAGGCAGACCAGATATAAATCCGCCTGCCAAATTTCCTGCCGGACATATCATTGTCTTTCCATGTGAGTGCTTTCACCTCTCTCTCTCTCTCTCTCTCTCTCTCTCTCTCTCTCTCTCTCTCTCTCTCTCTCTCTCTCTCNTCTCTCTCTCTCACACACACACACACACACACACACACACACACACACACACACACACACACACAACTTATACAGGTATAAGTGTGTATAGATCAACAGCAAGGAACCCTTCGAGCACATCAGTAATAACTCTCTATTCAGTGAATACGACCTACTGAGGATTCGAACTCGGGCTTATTGCCCTGTGAATTAGAAAAACAGGGAAATCTGGCCTCGAACCCTGGACCTATGTTACCCTCTATAAAATCTGGAGAGTCGGATCACAAAGAATCCTACCGTGGAGTCGAACTCTGCATCTAGTGCCGTACGAACTAAAAAATAGCAGTTTCCGGGCCTCCAGCCCGGAACCTCAGGATGCATCTAAAGTGTCAGAAAAAGGGAATAGCCCATAGTCGAAAATTCAAGAACTTTGTGCTGATTTAAACTCGGTCTCTTCGCCCGCCTGAAGTTCAGATGAGTTGGGGATGAGGAGTTCTCTCCAAAGCTCTTCTCACGCCTAAATTGCGAAGGTCTTGGGAATGACGAGTCACTCTAAATCTCTACTCAGTCCTAGCTATTTAAGCATGTCACTCAAGAATGCTGTCAATCCTCTAAAACTCGGGTGACTGGAGCCATGCGATTCCTGCGGTGTTTCTGATGCTGCCTGCGCCAATCCACGCGCTCCGATGGACACTCCGGAACACAACCGTACCCACAAAATGATCTGGCCATATAAGGCCTTCAGAGCCCATGCCCCAAAGTCGGGTAGTGCAGGGGTAGCCATCTGGATTCCCCCCGAGTCCAGGGTGGACCCTGTACATTGGGTGGTGGATCAGGAAGGGGGTCAATGGGTGTCCATCCTGGTCACGCTGGAAATTGAAATTTTATGCATTTTGTGTGTCTACGCCCCCAACACCGTGAGCAAGAGGAGATCCTTTTTTGAGGACCTCAAGTCGCAAATCCCAGACGGGGTCCCGGTTATAATAGCAGGGGACTGCAATGCAGCCCCCGATCGTCGGATGGACAGATGGCGGACGCCCTCCCCTACCCCGGCGTACATGGAGGAGGATGAGCGGATAATCCACGAGCTATGCCTATCGCTAAAAGTTTTCGATTCCTTCCGGAGGCTAAACCCAGATACGAGGTTTTATTTGTGCCTACGGAAGACTGGTACTGAGGGCCAGTCAAGATCTCGGATAGACTTAATTCTGATCTCGGAAGATATGGCAGGATCACTGCTCCTAGCAGCGATCTTACCTGCCAGTCCCTATCCGGGCCTTTATCATAAAATGTGTACGGCCATCTTGTCGTTCCGACAGAAACCCGACCGTGGACCTGGCTTTTACAAACTCAATACTTCTATCTTAAAACAGAATACCTTCCAAAACTACATCAAAGACTGTTGGGCATTCTGGCATACACATCGGCAACAATTTCAGCAGGATACTGACTGGTTTAACAACGGACTATTCTATCTGGGTAAAAAATGTCAAGAATACTCCAAACGTTTAGCGGCTAGAAAACATCAACAGGAGACGGAAGTACATCAACAACTGCAGCAATTAGAGCAACAAGATCATCCAAACAGTTCGCATAATGGCCAACACACACAGCACACACAGCCAGATGACTTCTCAGAGGTTCAAAGGCTACAACTGCGACTCCAAACCTTTGCTACACAACGTTGGGAAGGAACACGGATAAGAGGAAGGCTGACAAAGCTACAAACGGAAGGAACAATGGACAAAAAAATCTTTAGTATGGCTCCAGCACACTCGCACAGAACACCTATCGAAGCGCTATACGACCCGTAGACCGGCAACCATTGTCACCTCCTCCCCCCACTGCTTGCAGATAGCCAGGTCCTTTTTCAAGGATCTGTTCACTTCAAGATGTGCACAGCGGGAGAGGAATGTCAGGGAGAAGGAAATAGAAGATTTCTTGAAACCACTGGAAAAGACCCTGAAGGGCCAGCAACAAACAGATCTGGATCGTCCCTTCTCCAAGGAGGAAATCTGAACGGCAATGATGCAGATGGATGAAGAGAAGACCCCGGGCATCGATGGATTTCCCAAGGAATTTTGGGAGACCTTCTGGACCCAAATGTCCCCGGACCTCATGGATTTCTATCGCCATAAGTGGGATACAGGGAGGATGGGGGAGTTGGTGGGGCAAGGTATCCTCACCCTGCTGCACAAAAAGGGGGACAAAATAGACATCAGGAACTACTGGCCGATAAAGTTGCTCACAATTGTCTATAAGATGCTTGCAAAAGCCCTGGCAAACCGACTGATTCCGGTCCTAGACGACATTATTCACCCAGTGCAGACTGGTTTCGTCAAAGGACGCAGAATTCAGGATAATATCTAATGAACTTCTAAAATTAACTAGGCAAGATAAGCAGAATGTGGCTGTGGTATTCATCGACTTTGAAAAAGCTTACGACCACGTGGACTGGCTATTCTTATATGGAAAAAATGAACATCGGACCAGTATTCCGACGCTGGACCGAAATACTACATCATAACGCCACTACGTGTGCCCAAGTCAATGGAAGGTTAGCGCCGGTTTTTCCGCTGCAATGATCGGTTCGCCAAGGGGACCCTTTGGCACCCTTCCTCTTCATCATAGTGATGGAAGCGCTGGCTGCGAACCTCCGCGCCAATAAAGACCTGAGGAGACTGCAGATCTCCGCTATCCCAGAAGACGCAATCCCTGTTTGCTCAATGTTTGCTGACGACCTAACTCTTATGATAGATGCCACTACAGCAAACATGGAAGAAATTAGGAGATTATTTGACCAATTTACAGCAGTTTCAACATGACTGTCAATTGGGGAAACAAGACCTTGGGGTGGTGGATCCACCATCAAGGGGTGCGCCCACCGGAGGTGCCACGGGTCAAATGGCTCCCGGAGACGGGCCCGGTTAGAGTGTTGGGAATTAGGTTGACGGCATTAGGTAAGCCCGCATCGAATGATGAGTGGATCCTTAAGCCTGCTCTAGAAAAACTAGCCAACTGGAAAGACCGACACACCTCCCTTATCTGCAGAGCGCTCGCGATCAACAATTTAGTACTAGCGGCTTTGTTGTATAAATCTGCAATTTGGACCCTCGGCAAGGAGGTCGTCCGATCGCTAAAAAGGCAATTAGCGGCCCTACTGTGGAGGGGTAATGGTGAGCTCTCGAATGTCATTAGCAGAGTAGCCTTGTCATCCGTGATCCAACCCAAGGACAAAGGGGGCCTGGGGATCCTAGACCCGGATACCCAGATCACAGCACTAACCGTCCAGTGGGTTAGGAGACTGCTTCTCACGAAGCACCTCCCATGGCATGCCCCGGCGCTGGAACAGGTAGTCAAACTTGCCCCACAGGCACCGCAAGGAGTTAGCCCACTCACCTGGTTGGAAGATCGCTTTTGGATTGTGTCGCGGTGCCCCCATATAGAGCGAGACTCGCCCCAAGGTACCGCCCGTTCGGACCTGGTCAGAGACGACTTCTGGACCCGAGTCATCAAGGTCTGGCGCCAACTCCCGTTGCCAGATCAACCCCCACCAACCAGGTGGGAGGAGGTGATGCGCCAGCCTCTTTTTGGGAACAGGAGGATAACAAACCGGTACAACAGAGTGTACCGTAGCTCAGACACCCCGTGGAACAGTTGGGTCAAAAAATATGGGACATAGAATGGGGGAATTGGAAAACGGGGCCACAACTGAGAACCATAATAAAGCACTGCCATAAGATCGAGGAGAACATTGATCTGTTGACCTCTGCAGTCCCCCTTGACTGGGTGCGCATCTTGCGCAAAGGGCACGACTAATAGAAGGGGATTGGGTAGCTGCCCCGGGGGATCCGGAAAGTGTAGGCAATGTGGTGGAGGTAAGAGCAGACGAAATGTTGGTAAACCTCTTCCACTTAGACAAGGAAAATAAACTCACTCGGTACCACCCAGCTGTGATCAGATGGTGGAGAACAGTTGACCTGCACAGGATACACGTACTACGGGATAATGATG